GTCGTAAAGAAAACTTTTTGGGTATTCTTTTGGGTATTCAACCGGTGGGTGCTGTCGTTCGCTTGAAATCCTGTCAGCTCTTCAAGAAGCATGGTGTTCAAGATGACTGTGGATCGTAAGTGGGATTGTTATGGTTTCTATTGAAATATGAATGATGGCTAAAGTATCATGCTTCTAGTGTGGATATGTGGATATGTGGATCAGCAAAGACGTGGATCAGCAAAACACTCTGGATATTTGTGACGAGGCGATTGACGAATGGTGCCGAGTACGAGTACGAGTACGAATGATGGCGGACGATGAAGACGACGATGGGTGGCAATGTTGCTAGATGAAATAAACCATTGTTTCTTTTATTATGTACACGCTTGGAGATTGCTAGCTTGTGGATTACATACTATTGCTTCGAAGATGGAATAATAAAGGTGGTTCCGGTTATCGGTCATGCAAGAAGTATATGGCTTTTGTGATACAATAAGGAGGAGTGGGATGAGCTTGAGAAGAGAAAAAGTGAAGTGATCCCGTGCATTGAGTTTCAGGATGAGTGACCCCATCATCATCATCATCATCATCATCATTGGATTGGTTACTGGTGGGTTTACATAATACAAATTGGTTTATGCAGCTCGACCTTCTCCTACATGCAAATGTGATACATACTTTGACACTCACATTCATTATTGGATGCTGTTTTACTTATGTACCTTCGCAAAAGGCAATCATCATCATCATCCATTTGTGTAGCAACTATGCTGTAAGCGTGATGGAGCTGTTTGCTTCTAATGGGTGGTATCGAGATCAGGAGAAGCAAAGTGAGTAGCTGAGTGAAATTGCACGTGATGGTCGCACAAACGCGTCGCTATGTTGCTGCATACATGGATGATGATTGCTTTTAGGAAGATACTTAAACAGCACCCATCCATGAATAAGTTACTCATTATGATATCACAATAAATCTATACATAAATACTACGCTTTTTTTAGTTTGGGAGGGGAGTCATATGTTGGTTGCACAAGTTCAGCAGTCGTGCTGCATTGACATGCACGGACCTAATAGATACCAATCCCGCCACAGTAAAACCATTGATAGCTTAATCACCAGGGCTAATGCTCAAGTGAATTCTCGAGTAGTATTGTTACTATTGACCAACGTATAGGTATTATTGAGGTACACACTCACAGCGGTAATTGTAGCAAGCTGGATGGATTTTGAAGCCATTATTATATCACCCTCATGCGGGAGCTGTGATGGCGGGGACATTTACGCTTGTGTACTAAGCCTATCGACAATGAAGATGCCAAAAACTTTTCTTTTTGAAAGGAACGCCTACATAAATATCGTTGAAAAAGATCTTATTGCTTGGAACTTGTGCACAGCAAGTGATTTGGATGATGCCATTGTTGGACGATGGGCGAAATTGCCACCTTGTCTATCAAAATCCTGGTGTACGCATGCAAAATCAATCGCACCAAGGCTCTCTGTAATGACTCATCATCAATTTATCAGCTCATCACCATCCCCAATCCCCATTTTATCACTCATTGTGGTCACAGAAATACCCACGCCCACCGTGCAGATATAAACAAGATGAATGTTGTCGTCCATTGCTTTTCTCGCACACGTCTCTTTTTTCTTCCCATCATATCATTCTTTGCTAGCACCTTCAAATCCCTCGGTGTGTATCATGGTCGAGAGTCCCTTTTGTGAGCGATCCATGTGCTAATTTGTGATGATCGTGAAGGTTTCATTGTTATCCTTGTACTTTCATTTTCCATGTTGTCATTGTGGTATTTATTAGCTCTTTTGATAAAGGTAAAACCTAATCACCTCGCTTGATGAAGCATGTATTCATATACACATTATGTCCTTTTTGATGTAGCTACCTCGCAACGATGCACTGAAAAGCTGGATTGGGTGGCATATTGTACTACAGCCCGCATGACGTGGAGTGCAAAAATTGGGAACAATGAGAGGAACGACAAAGAGCCCTTTCTTCTCCACCCCCACTTGACATAGCAAGATAAGCGTGTCTCCGTCTCCATTTACAAACTACAACGCGTTAACAAGCTGGCATTGTATTCATTGTACAGCGTTCATTGGGTGAACAGGTGGTCAATGGCGGCACTCCCCAGTGACAACAAGTATACGCGCGTGATGTACCCAAGACTCAAGCTTCCATTCCAACACGACGTGTACGTTCCATCGCTGCATTACTTTATTACACAAGTTTGCCGTTGAGATACTAAAGTTCACGTGTAGTTTGCTGTTCTCTCGTTTATACAAGATCCAAGGGGGGCGTGTTTTTTGTTTCCATGGTTGTCACCAAGGAGAGGTCTCAACTCGTTGTTACTTTGGGCCGGGTATGTTGACAAGACGAGAACATGCTATGGATGGTACCTTACGTTGCTTTTACTATAGCTTAAACATGTTGTATGATGGTACCTGTGACAGCAGCAAGATATTGCTGATCTCAAGCAAGAACGCTGTTGTACGTTGTTTCATTGGTACGCATAGCATTGCATCTACAAAGCAAGGTTTTTTGGTTACTAAGTTACGATATAGCAGCTGCTCATTATGGATGGGATGGAGATATCGTTATTGGAAGCAAGATTGCTGTTGATGAGAAGCATTGCAAGGTAAAAAATGCCCATTCTGGGATTTGTTGCGTTCAAGTGGACTTACGAAATAGATATAGTGTTGGCTCTCACTCGGCGTTCCTACCATTATCACACAGCACGTCAAGGATGTCATTGCACTGTACTGTCTAGGAGGGAGACGACCATGTTGTGTTAGCGAAATGCTTTCATCGGCGGACATTTGGGGCAAGGCGGCATTATTGGAATGGTTGCATGAAAACCCAGAAAGGAGCACCGCGTTCACGAGTTGCCTGCCTTTCTTCACTCCAGTGGCGGCGTGGGACAGTTGGCTGACTCCCTCATCAAGCGGGAGATTAAGTGAAGGAAGCCACAAAGCGACCTTGGTGAGGTAGGACTACTTGGCCGGCTCCTATATCAAGAAGAGATTAAATGGCGGAGGCCTCAAGCTGACCTCGTGCAATTGTTTGGTATGTCATTTAAAAAGGAGGGTTAGTGCAAAGTATAACATGTTCATTGTTATTGATATTCACTTTAGATGAGGGAAGCAGCACCATGGCGAAGGTGAAGAAAGCTGCCAAGGGAGTGGTATTTGAGCTTGCGAATGACCGGGCTTTGGTCATGGAAGGCCCCGAAGAGAAGGTTGACCATTTGGTCTCCTTCTTACAACAATTGGTAAATTTTTTTGAACAAAATGAGCACCTGTATCATCTTCTAAAATGCATTTATTTGTGTAGATTGTCAAAGAAGGGCATCCAGAAAGCAACTACATCATTGTCAAAGTTGTGGGATCGACTGCGGAACCCAAACTTGACCATCTCCAGCAACACATCGGCAACGCTGGCAAGACTGTGCCAGTGCCATGGTTGCATTTCTCGGTGGCACACACAATAGGTGCTTGGCCTGCTGAGCAGGCAAGTATCCTTGCTGAAGAATTGGACCAGCAGTTACGGCAATCACCACCATCACCAACAACCAAGGACACCTTCGTGTGCGACAAGGTCGCATTTTTTGACCCAAAATTCCCACAAGGTAGTTACCATCCGCTTTTGAGTTTCATATACCAAGTTGACCCATCTCATGTACCAATCAATCGCTTTATTATAGTTCTTGGTGTGGCCCCGTCGGTTGCAAACAGGCCCATCAACAACCTTTTCGGTATGTACAATCGTATTAATGATACATAACGCAATACCCATATACCCATACTCACTATAATGCTCATAGGGATGCTTCAAGGTCCGATGCCCGGTGAAAATGGCCTTAAGATGGAGACTACGCAAGGGAAATACCAGGACGTGGATAAAGTGCAAGCCAACAACCAAGCACTCACATCAGCCATCAAAAAGTTACCCGCATCTCATGACTTCCTAGGACCTATGAAAGTGGAGAGCATCGTCGTGAGTCGCAGGGTGAAGAGTCTTGAGAAAAGGATCTACAGCAGATTGCCGACATACAAAACATCTTCATATGAATCATTGTTCAGATACACAACGGCACTATGTATGGTCCTTCCGTAATTGTTTCGACGCTATGATTCACGATTCAACACGTTGCGTTTCTTGAACTACCAAGGGAAACAAAGAGCGTTGGACGAGATGGTGAATACTCTATTAGAAGGCGGCAAGAAATATCCACCAAATGCAAAAGCGAAGAGGAAACGCAAGAAGAGGTCGAGACACAAGAGAATATGGTGTATTCTTTAACATTGTGTGAAATGGTTACTAACGCAATCTTTGGGAGACGCCTTTATAAATAAAAGCCTTACTTCCGCATATCATGTTTCCAGTCATGTCATGGTTGTTGTGAGCTTCTCATCCACTTTAGAATAATCAATGGGTCTTTACGTAACTGATGTCAATCCACCCTCCCACTTTACCCCCAGCATTGGCTTAATCATGGTACCAGTCGTCGATTTGATTATGTAGTAACAGAGGCAAAATCATACTTATTGGATTGATGCACCCTTATTAAACACATGTTAAATCATCTACTTCTTCGCTTGGAACTATCTGGAATAATTCTTGGTCTATGTGCCATCATTGAGAGATAATCACAAAGCCTACTAATGCAGTTCATGTTGTTGCTGCTGCTGTTGGTGTCATCCATACTCAAATAATAAGATGTCGTGATCGATGATGCCGTTTGAGCATTCGTTATCATCATCGTATTCGCTATGTATTGTCATCATCCCTTGATGCGGATGAGACTGATATGGTGGTGAGAGGCAAAGGTGTGAGAGGGTTGTTGGGGCAAATGGTCTTGACAGTACAATTCTCGGTATACAGCAATAGAAATGGATCTGCAAGCGTCTTTGCTGACACAGGTTGTTTCGGAATGGCGGGTCTTGGAAAACAAAATCATGCAACAAGTGCTCAATCCCAGTCTCTGTTTCGCGTTGCACATGAAATGAGTTTAATGTAAGTCGACTTTATCTAGCAATGCAATACAATGGCTACAACATGACTATAGATCGGGCTTGAAAAAGAACCTTGGACGTGCGGGAACATCGGTAATGACCCCCATGGAGCGACAAGCGATTGCAAATGTAGACTTACCTCATGCCATTTGTTAGCTCATGCAACGCACTGGAATAGTTGACCGTACGGTGGATGAAGAATTCAAAATCGAATATGGCCAATATAAAGCGTAAGTGGTCAAAGCAAATGAATGATTGATGTTAGGCTGATCAACATGTTGAAAGGCTGGAAAAAAAGATCCTCAGGCTGAACAAGGAAGCCCGATACAAGATGTCTTCGATGCGTGACATTTCGGTAGCCAAGCGACGTATTGCAGAGACGTTAAGCGAATTCGAACAACAATCACCATCATCATCACCGGAGGGGATTATGACAGCTTACATGCACGTATTGATATGGTTGGATGAAGAAGCCCGGCTTGCTTTGGATGCCGAATTTCGAAAGACGATATTGGAACCACTCGAGAGGATGTGTATGTACTTTCCAGCAGTACAAGAAGCTGTCAAACATCGACAAAAGCTTGCATTGGATTATGATGCACAACGAGCCAAGGTGCGAAAGATGATTGATAAATCAAGCCCCGTGAGCGATGGTGGTAACCATGCACTACCGACAATGGAGGAGCAGGCTCATCATGCACGAGAAATGTACGAAGAACTCAACCTTATCCTTGTGCAGGATCTTGCACGGCTTGTGGAGTTGAGGGTGCCCTATTTGGATCCATCGTTCGATGCTCTTGTTAAATCAGAATCCAATTATGCACAAGCTGGATACGACGCACTCCAAACACTCGAGGTACCCGAGCCAGAAGATGTGAATGGGCTGTTGCAGGAAATGCGAGAACTTTCAATTTGTGGGAACCTATAATATTAGTGTACATAATAGAAAATCTGTATATATGATATATATAAACGTGTTCTCTCTCGTTATGCAATGCACCAAATGTTTCTGCAATGCGTTGTCTCGAATCATATGCCACTTTATGCATGAACATACATACATGGAAGGCTTCTTTTTCTTGTTCTTCATTTTCCATTGCTAGTAATCCATACTTGAGCATGTTGCAAATGCTTTAATACTGGAACCCCTCCTCATTGTTCACACACACGCTATTCCTCCACGGTGAAACAAGGGGTGGTGTAAAAGAAGGGACCTTTAGAAACAACAATGTTATCCACACATCTCCAACTCACATTTTTGTCCTACAAACAAACTGTCCAAAGATGCAGAGTAAACCAGAATACATCGACGACGACCACACCAGCATCCATAAAAAACAAAGCGTACATGCCCCCGTTGATTATCATCCAGCATCATCACCTCCTCCGCTTTCCTCATGTACAACCACATTAGTACAACGACGCAAGCAACGTGCTTCTCGATGTTTGAAATGCTGCATATTTCTCATTTTTCTAGGCGTAGCTGCAGTGTCTGTGGTGTTGCCCCAAGTGTTAATAGGTCGAGATTCACCCAACTCACAGCAAGGTCATGCATTGGATTTAACGATTGTGCCCGATGCACGCCTATCACAGTCATTTTATGGCATTGATTACCGCATTCAAGATGATAGCTCGTTGCAACAAGTGGTGGATGACGTTAAAGTGCTGAGTCAAATGACCACCCGTATCCGAGTGCAAGTAGCTGCCAATGAAGCTGATGATGCTGACAAAACGTCACTTGTGTTGGAGGCTATTAGCCTAATCAATACCACGCAACAGCCAATGGGTGTCATGCTTGCATTAAACGACCCCATAAGTAATACACAGCAATATGAGGCCTTGTGGAACCTGCTAAATGAACATGGCACTGAGAATGTGATTGGGGTATCTGTGAGCAGCAGCAGCAGTGATGGTAAAAGTGACAAAGTACATGATTTGTATATAGAGGCTTACACAGCGAGTATATAGTGAGTGACGAGCAAATGAGTGCCCTTATTCAGCAAGTGCAAGAACAAATGGCGTCGCATGGATACCCATCTCTTCCAGTGACACCATCCACTATGTCTATTCAACAACTTCTTGTTCAACAACAAACGATCGCCAACAACTCGCATCCATTCTTTTCCGGGATCCGGGCTGATGAAGCAACCGATTGGATGTGGCAGCATCATAACCATTCTCATATGCAACCAAGGCCTGTGCAACAAATAGGATGGCCAACAGGGCCCGAGGATCAACCTTTGCAAGATGCCATTCCATCCATTGATAACCAACAAATGCTACTGGATACATTTGTTTGTCAAGCAAATGCACGCGGAGTTCCCTATTACTGGTTTGAATTCAAGGATCATCCTCCATCATCATTCTCATCTCGGCAAAAGGTTACTACTTTTTGGGGTTTAATGGATGAAGGACGTGCCCCTAAACATCGGCATATGCCTACATGTCATGTGGAACCATGGCAAAGAACCAACACCACCACCATGAACACTTGAGATAATAAAGCAGATTCCCATTCCATAACTTTTCTTTATATATTATCAATGATCAAGATGTTGTTGTACTAGTGGATATACTTTTGTTTGTGATGCTGCTACTTTTAGGTGGTGTCAATTGAGGCATTTTAAGCACTTGTCGTACCAAGGGTATCCGGAAAGCCACATTCTGAACCACACTGAACCATGCGGATGTGCACCAATACAAGCCTAACGACATGGGAGCATGTGCTGCGATGGGTACAAAGGCGACTGCCAATACACGAAAGGCGTTGGTGAGGATCTTTTGGGTGAGGGTCTTTTTTCGATCTTTGGCTAGCCAAGCATTCAACTATATCATCATGTTAGTAATGTGTGTATATGCAATTGTATCCTTATCAACCTAGTTACCTCCACATTCAACAGGGTCCCAGCACCAATCAAAAGAGGAAATGTCATTGTTGGGTCAGGTACTGTAAGGTCTGTAAACCATGCAAGGCCTTCATGATTCATCCCGTCAGCCGAGTTCTCTGCTACTTGTCCATACCAAGGTAGCGGCATCCCGGTCATGTGGCGTATGGTCAATGACATGGATACAAAGAGTGGGATCTGCACATAGGGCAATGATAATAACTTCCAACGAGGACATCCATATTGCTTGTAAATGTCATTCACTTTTCTTCGATACTATCATCAACCCCTTTGTTAGCTATCCCATCATCATCATTGCCATCGTTGCTACTATCATGCTCACCTGGCGTTGGAGTTCCTTGTTGTAACGTGCATAATCCCATCCAGCTTTTCTCGCTTCAGTTGTAACGTGTGTTTTGAGTGTCTCGCCCCAACTTTGAACCATGGGTGCCAATTCGATCATGCGTCCAATACTGCGTTGTTGATACACGGCGATGGGCAATGTCAAACTCGATCGCAAAAGGCATGTCAAGCCTACAATGGTAGCCCACCAAGGGACACCTGCTGAATGGACTGATTCCAAGAGAGATTCATTGGCTGCAAGGACGATTGGAAGAGAAGAAGCTCGTGTTGTTGTCTTTAAAGGGTGGTTGCGATGGCGACAAGGAATGACAAAGTTGTGGCGGTAAACAGCTGCAGGAGATAAGCGTGGCATGGGTGTGTGTACCAAAAAGAGCGAATGAATGAATCAGGTGGGTTTGTCCTCCCCCACACACATCGCACTGCTGCTTGCCTACTGACTTTGAATGGACATAGGAGTGCAGCACGGCCAAAGGAGAGCATGGAACCAACTGCAATAATGACCTCACGTGAGGACAGGGTGAAAAAAGTACGCCATAAACATTTCTGCAGCCTCATCTGATGGGGGAACGAGACCCAGGACGATCATCTTTTTTATGAGTGCCACCATTTACAAACCAGAGGGCTGTTCTATCGAAGGTTCCTGATATCATATGATTCGAGACTTGTTTATATCCCCTTTTTACAACACACAAATGCCCGTCAAAGAAAAAGAGAAGCATCTTATATGTAAAGTGCTGCTGCTGCTGCTGCTGCTGCTGCTTGCTGCTGCACATATATCGCCCCCAATCTTCATCCATCCTTGGCATTCCTCCTTTCTCTCTCTCTCTCTCTCTCTTTCTTCTTTACTCTTTCCCATTCCTGGTGCAATGAAGTTTTCCCACCAGCTTCAATTCAACGCAGTACCTGATTGGGCTGACTACTATGTTCCGTAAGAAAATGCTACTATCCCATCACACACACAGCACACAAACAAACATTGTCATCAATGATTCACCTTCTTCATTTATAAACCCTTCAATGGAAACAATCTAGGTATTCCAATCTCAAGAAACTCGTCTACTCCATCGAAAGGGATCGTATCCTTGCTGGCTCTACCATGGAAGACATTCCCAATGAACAAACGGCTCTCTTGGACAATCAACATCATCATAATGACAACACCACCAGCCACAATGATCGCTTCATTGCTGCTTTAGACCGTGCCTTGGATCGCATTGTCAATTTCTACTCCAAGAAAGAAACCGAGCTCTATGATGCTGTAGACACCTTGCTCATTGATCTCGAGGCTCAGGCCACAGCGGTTGCTTCTTCCACTACTACAACTACTACTACACCCGTTGCTGCTGCCCATAGTGATCATCCACCACAAGCCCATCAAAATCGCCAACAACAACACAAGCGCACCCATAGCACCTCCTCCTTGCTTGCAACACAAAACTTGGCAGACCATGATCCTGAAGCAACAAGAATTGATATGGGTGCCATGGATGATGAGCGAGAACAATTACGTCGACATGCTGTGGATCTCTTTGTGCAATTATCTGAATTGAAGTCCTTTGTATCCTTAAATGCCACGGCGTTTGCCAAGATTCTCAAAAAGTATGACAAGATTACGGGCAGCGAACTCAAGCGTTACTATACAAGCAACTACGTCACCAAGGCATATCCATTTCGTACAGCCACCAAGCAAAAGCTCAATGCCACTATCCAACGCATTGAACATGGCTATGCCGCTTTGACTCACCAAGATGACACCGTTGAAGATGCAGTGCGTGAATTGAAGGCTCATTTGCGTGATCGTATCGTTTGGGAGCGTAATACCATTTGGCGAGATATGATCGGTCAAGAACGCAAGGTTCAAAACATGGGCAATGTCGCTGAACGAAAGCTTGTTCATACCCCTTTTGGTGATTTGGATCGCTCTACTCTTTCTCAACTCGCATGGCTCGTTGCATGTCTCGTGGTCTTCTTCATTCTCCTCAAAACAGAACTCTTTGCTGACATTGAGCAGAATCGATGCTTTGCTATTCTCATTTTTGCAAGCATGTTGTGGGCTACAGAGGTATGTACTTGTTGTCTGTGCGCGTATAATTTACTTACTTACATACGTACGATACATCATAGGTGATGCCGCTATTTGCTACAGCAATGATCATCCCTCTCTTGGTGGTGGTGCTTGGCGTGATGCGATCGGCGGATGATGGTCATGAACGTCTTAGTGCGCCTGAAGCAGCCAAAGTGGTATTCTCCGGCATGTTTTCATCCGTGATCATGCTTCTTTTGGGTGGATTTGCCATTGCAGGATCACTTAGCAAGTTTGGAATTGCAAAGTCAATGGCAACATTTGTATTGTCTCGAGCGGGTACCCGACCCAGTCGCGTGTTGCTTGTCAATATGTTTGTGGCCACAGTGACCAGCATGTGGATCAGTAATGTGGCGGCGCCCGTGCTTTGCTTTTCATTGATTCAGGTAGGTTACACACATACATACACATGGAATGCACATGTCAGCAAACAAACAACTCAAACATTTTCCATAGCCCATTCTACGCACCCTCCCTGTTGATTCGTCCTTTGGGTCATGTTTGATTATTGGCATTGCCCTTGCATCCAATCTTGGTGGACTTGCATCACCTATTTCATCGCCCCAAAATATCATTGCCATTCAAAACATGGATCCTGCACCATCCTGGGGACAATGGTTCCTTATCTCCATTCCAGTATCGATTATTGGCAACATGATCATTTGGCTATGGCTGCTTTTTAGTTATCGACCTGAAAAGAATACCTCCCAAATCCATACCATCCGTGCATCTCAAGATCCTATCACCGGCACACAAATCTTTGTCATGCTTGTCACGGTCGTCACGATCGCTTTATGGTGTGTCGCTCATTCACTCGAAGGCATGCTTGGTGATATGGGTATCATTGCCATCATTCCATTGGTGGCATTCTTTGGCACTGGTTTGCTTACCAAGGACGACTTTAACCATTTCTTGTGGACCGTTATTATGTTGGCTATGGGTGGCACTGTGCTTGGCAAGGCTGTTGAGAGCTCTGGATTGTTGCGCACCATTGCTACAAGCATTCAACATATGGTCACTGGTTTCTCCACCTTTGAAGTGCTCATTGTCTTTAGTCTTTTGGTCGTTGTGATTGCCACCTTTATCAGCCACACAGTGGCAGCTCTTATTATCTTGCCCATTGTTGCCGAAGTCGGTGCTGAAATGACTGATCCCCACCCTCGTTTATTGGTCATGGTAGGTATTTATTGGCAAGAATCATACATCAATTAACACATCTGCTACTCTAGGGCACCGTATTCATCTGCTCCATTGCCATGGGACTACCCGTTTCTGGTTTCCCCAACATGAATGCTGTCTCACAAGAAAATGAGCTTGGCAAGCCATACTTGAGCACTAAGGACTTTTTACGCAATGGCGTTCCTTGCAGCTTGCTTTGCTTGCTATGTGTCACCTCCATTGGTTATGGCTTGATGAACCTCGCTGGTTTCTAATCTCTCTCTTTACATACACATATCACACAAACATACATACCCCTTTCTCCAATGTATAGCATTTTCCATATATCTCAACAATCCCTATACAACAGCACACCCTCATTGTTTTATACCTTTGCTTATGCATATTTATTCAATAGAAGATACAACGTCTGTGGAATCCAATAAACACGCACATCATGAAAACATGGAGGTAGTAATAAAAGCGCATGATTCCCAAGTTCACGCGCATGAAAAAGCATGTCATGCTAAATTTTTGTGGGGTAAAAAGAAGGTTGTGGTGTGTGTGTAACCCTATGCATGAATAAAATGAATACATCGCACATGCAATTCTTCTCTTTTGTTTCTCACTCTCTTTTTCCTTTACCTAATCGACACACACACACACACACACAATGCCCGAAGGATTCAAACCGGACTTGTCCAAGGCTGTAGGCCACCGATACCCTGATGATTTTGTAAGCCCAGCAATTCAAAGTGTCACCCATCCATGATCAGCCATGATGTACTGACATACATGTATATAAAAGGTGGCATGCACTCGTCGCGATTACTTGTTGTATGCATTGTCGATTGGTGTTCCTGAAACTGAGTTGCGATGGCTCTATGAGAATGGTACGACGAAATAGGGACTTTTTGAATCTACCTCTAATACACAACGTCTTCTTGCAGAACAAGATTTTGGTCCTTTGCCAACGTATCCGCTATGCTTGTTGATCAAGGGCGATCACTGGGATGTCGTCGACTTTGCCGAACGCTGGCATGCAGGTGGTCCATTGCCAGGCATGCCCGAGTGGGACATTAACAAGATGGTGCATGGCGAACAGAGCATCGAAGTCATCAACCCATTCCCTGTTGAAGGTGGCCGTTTTAGAGCAGTCAAGACTTGCCGTGGTGTGTATGACAAAGGTAAATCCCACACTCCTCTTTTTGCATTTACAATCACATGACCCCCAAGCAAGTGGAATCTAACATGTGAAAATTAGGCTCAGGCATGGTCATGGATTCAGTGCTGGATCTCTATGGCGAAAAGGATGGTGTACATTATTGCAGCATGGGAAGCCAAATGTTTGTTCGTGGATATGGTGGATGGAATGTAAGTAATACCGTCGGTAAAAAGATCATCAAGTCGTTGACATGGCAACCGTATCCTTGTCGTTGTAGGGACCCAAAGGACCAAAGACCATCAAGTATACACCTCCTAATCGACCCGCCGATGTTGTGGATAAGTTCGACACTGCTCGTAATCAAGCATTGCTCTTCCGTCTTTCTGGGTAAATAGGACATAGGCATATACTTGTATATGAGATGCTCATCCTTTCATCATCATAGTGACTTTAATCCTTTGCATGCGGATGTCAACTTGGCACCCATGGTAGGCTTTGAAAGACCCATCCTTCATGGCCTTTGTACCTATGGCAAGGCTGCCCATTCGGTCCTGAGAGCTTTTGGTGATAATGATCGCTTACGTTTCAAGTCTTTCAAGGCACGCTTTGCTAAGCCTGTGCTCCCTGGTGAAACCGTTGAGATTCATATGTGGAAGGTGGAAGGCCCTGAACCAAAGACCGATGGTGTTATTTTCGTCGCCAAGGTTGGTGATCGCATCGTTCTCAGCAATGGCTATGCCGTCTTGCACAAGGAAACACCCGAATCCAAATTGTAAATACTTCCCTTTGTACCTTTCGGAATATGATACGTTTTCGGAATTGTCTTTTCGATCCTTCATTCATGTGTTAAAGATGTTGCACAATATGTCAAAAGAGTGTTTTGAGAAGGAAATGTTATTATTATTGTGTTGTCAGTGTATACATTGCGTCATAAACAGCTTTCAATATTAACCGATCCGATCATTGTAAACGTGGTACATGAAGATCTAGTTGCTCACATGAGCATTTAAATGTTGCAACAACTATGTATCATCTGATGATTCGAGGTATGGACAAATGTAATCCGCTCATCCCCACGTTTTTGAAACACGTTGTGAGGAGGAGAAAAGAAAACATTTGTCGTCAACTTTGTCTCATCACCCGCTTCTTGCTCCACTCTTACCCCACGCTAGCAAGACGAAATAGTGTGATCAGCAGCACCATGTGGATGATGATGTGCTGTGACCGAATAGATTCACGACATTGCCCGCTTTGTATATTGCTGGTATGTATTCAATCATCATCCCCTTTCGCTTACTCTTAATAGCTCACGTAGATACACATCTTACATAAATTTGATCTGAAACATTCCTATGGTTCATTCACAAGATTACCGTGACACAGTCTCATACATTAGCAAGCTGTCAAGAATGTTTGAATGGGTCGTATTTGCGTCGTAGGTGTAGCAAAAGGATGGACAATCACACAAGAATACACACAAACAAATTATGATGGTCCATACGGAGCAAGTCCGCTTGTTTGCGCAAATTCGAATGAATAGCTTAGTTGGTGTAAAAAAGGCAAGAAGAATGTATGCTATGTGCGTGTGAACAACATGATGACTATATAAGAGGACTCACTCAAACCACACCATAGCCATGAACATCATCCCGCTATCCACCATGATCCAACAAGTAAAACCAACCATTTTCAGTCCTATCAACGCTGGTTGCGCTCAATGTTGCGTTTGTGGTTCCTTTACCCATAAGACCCGGTATGTCATTTTTATGGTGATCCCCGATCGTTTCCTCACACAACGTATATCTTTTTCAACAGTGATTGCCCAGGCTTGTATCGATGATGAATCCAACAACAACCCATGTCACATGACAACGGTCTCCAACATGTAGTATCTCGTGTATTGATTATCCAGATTTGCTAGCTACACATATAAGAACACCTGCAATCACGAGTACCATGCCAAGCCAAGTATCTATCCAATGTACAAATGTCAACCTATATCCTAGCAACCTTGTTTCCTTGATCCCTTTACCTTTTCCTCCAAGCTCTTCTCCAAGTAATAAACCAGTGAACAGTGAAAATATGAACGTCAACGAATTGGTGATGGGCACTGCAAGTGACATTTCTATAGGCGGGTGTATGAGCCAGGCAACCCACCCACAGCAAACAACAGCCTACTCTCATGGAGTACACATACCTGATTGACCAAGGGTATAATAGTAGACGACCGATCCACTCAAATTCAATGCCAATGGGAGAACATACTATGCAAGGACATTAGCCCATTGTCACCCATCGTATCCTGTCGACGGTGATTACCTGCCATCGCGTAAAGAGGTACTTTTGTTCAGCCAACCAACGCTTCATGCCACCTTCTGGATGCTTTGCTGTCACTGTATCAAGGCCTTTGGTGCCTGCTTTGATCAATGGATTGGTTGAACCCCAACATATGGCCACTAGATCCACGCCTTGTCAGTCTGGGATAGATACACGTTGTATGTAGAAGAGTTCAAATAAAAGGATTGCATACCGAGTACAAAGCCAAGGGCTTGTTCTATAAAAGAAGATGAGAAGGAATATAGATAAAGAAAGGGATGGATGTACTTACGCATGATACTGGCTGAAGACATTTTCAAGGCCGAGTGAAAGAAAGAGCAACATGCATTAAAAGGGATTGGCTCGAAATTCATGTCAGACGATTGGGATTAAACAACGATGGAGAGAGAGGCACATGACACATATTAATGCGATGCTTAAAAGAGGGATGAGTTTCTGGTAAGCTACTCATTGCATGTTGCTATGGCTACCGGGAATCCTCATACTCAACATAATGTGGCTGAATGCTATCATGGTTTCAATAATAGTCTCATTATGACACCACTTTTCCTTCCCAGCATCCATCAAATATAGACTTGCAATATCGATTATGGCATTCTAAGGTTACAGCAAAGCACCCACCAATCATTTGGTGTTAAACGCGCTAGATTTGCTTATTGGGTCGGATGATCGGGTTCTTTTGTCTCTTTGTTCTCTTTATCTGATAATCATGCATGACGATTTGGAGCAGGGTGGTGGTGTAGAAGCACGACAACAACAACCCCTTTTACGCGACTCGACCAATAAACGCAATGTCATTTGGACGACGCTCATTTGGATCTGGCGAATCTGCATCTTTGCTGTAACGGGATCGTCGAGTGTTGCTGTTACTCGGTTTATTTTGGAGCATATCTTTGGAACCACTATGGGTGAGTAGTAGTAGTAGTAGATGAGCGTATAGATGTTTGTAGGTGTGTCACTCATGCATTGATTATATCCATAGCTCGTTGGCTTTACTATGTCCTTTTCTTCTTTTTGGAGTTGGTGGTCTATACGGTGATGATTGTATCCATAGGCACCATTCTTGGTCAACATCGGTTCTTTTTCAACGTGGCGGTCAAAATGTGGGGATGGATGCTTCCAGCACGTTACTGCACAAGTTATCGTTAAAAGAGGATACATCATTGCAACGTTGTATTGAAGCGTTTGTACGCTTAGGAATAGTACATAAAAAATTGATAAATAAGAAAAAGGTGTCTATCTACAAGAGAGAATTGGGAGGAGCAGGACAAAAAAGAGGGCGGATGGAAACAAAGACTCAACATGTGTCCCATGCTTGTATATCAAAAGGATGTCTGTAATGGGGGGAGAGGGTGGTGGGTGAATGTGGATGAGGGTAATAGGAAAAAGTGAAATAGAGAAAGAGAGAGGATGTGTGTTGGTTGTCCTAGTTACTGTAAAGCATAGCAACAAGAGCACCACCAATACTTCCACCGTCACGAGCGATTTCAAGCTTGATGCGACTAGCAATTTCCTTTCCAAACCATTCTTCAAGTGAGCGACGAACACGTTCTTCCATGTGGGGATAGAATTCATAGGTGGATCCATTGACACCAACAACAATGTCGCCCGAGCTTGTGTGAAGATTTTGTTGCATGAGGGTGGAGATAATAGCAACCGAGGCAAGAGCAGCGCTGCGAGAAGCAACAATACGACAAATGCGAGTAAGGATGGCCATATCCTGTAAGGTGGGCGTGGTGACAAAATGGTACTTGCTGAGGACTTCTACAGTAGATTCAAGGGATGCTGGCGAGAGTGGTTTTGCTTCCAATGCACTCATAGTAGCAGTAGGGAAAGACCATGCTTCACCAAAACCTTCTGGGACAACACCATCAAAGAGAGCACCGGTCTTGATGAAATCCAAAGCGATTAGGCGGACAAGTTCACCCAAGTAGGCACCTGACAACATCTTTTCATAGCTTTGGAAACCAGGTTGATTGTGACTAGCGTCAAGGATACGATCATACTTTGTCAGTGGCAAGTACTTGTCGCTGCCGAAAATGTCAATCTCGGTGTTGATGAGCATTTCAGTATTGGGAGGATAGGAAGCACGCATCTCAGGATCCAACTTTTCAATCAATTCCATCTTTTCAGGGTATGCTGCATTGAGACCAGTGGCAAAGATCAAGCCCATACGTGCCTTGGGGTTGGCGTATGCATGCGCCACAAGGGTTCCCACTGTGTCATTCAAGATGGCACTTACACGCACGTTCAAAGACTATCAAGGATCATCCAATAAGCATGCCATGTCAACACACACTCTTTTATACAACTTTTTCTTACCTTGCGTTCAAATGCTTGATGGAACATGTCAGCTAAATCTTTGCCTTCGATGCCTTGTAAGGTAAAACCTTTGCCCATGCGTAACATGGTGCCACGATCCACACCTGTTTGGCTGAGATAATAAAATGATGAGCTTATACTGTTCGTTCGTGTGCATAGACACTTTTTCAACTTACTCGACAGGGAAACTCCAGCACACACCAAGTGAAAGCGTCTCTTTACCAGATACTTGTGCCTCGGAGAACAAATGACGTGCCTTGGAAGTGACCAGCTCCTTCACGGCATCGGCAATCCAATCGAAAAATGCAGCACCAGGACCCGTCTTGAGCTCATGGGATGGCGATTGCTTGAGCTCGCTTACTCGGACCTTGCCATTGCCCAGCAATTCCACAGCCGAGATGCGTAGATTCGTACCACCGAGATCGAGTGACAGAAATGTGCCCGTTTCAGTGCCGTTGGGTAACCTGGTAACGAACGAAGGGATCATGGTGGCTAAACCTTTTGAAGGTGTCTTGAGACCATGCTTGAACTCGCACAAGAAGCCATTAATGATAGGTGCAAGACCGTCCTTGGACAAGAGGAAAGTGCTTTCCAGGTTTTGAAAGAGTGCATCGGCTGCGTCAGTCATGATTCAAATTTCGTCACACAATAAAGATGTGGGTCAACTCTAATTGTTGTTATGCTTCTTATTTGCCCAGAAAGGGGATGAAGGGGTGGGGTGGATGATGGGGATATGTATAGAACAAAAAGAACGATAGGAAGAATGTGGGTGTGTGTATACAATGGTTGTGTATGTGAGTAGAGATGGTATAAAAGAAGTACACACACAAAGGTAAATCCAAGAAGAAAAAGAGAAAAAGGAAAAAGAAAGAAAAAAGGATTCTCAATCGCACACTCTTATACCGAGGAATGATGGAGATGGTGTGGGTTGGGTGCCGTGTGTATGTGTGTTGTGTGGGCGCTGTGATATGGTAGGTTTCGGATTGAGCCAATAGCACATGGTTTCTATCGTCGGAAAAAACGACCCTTTCCAGCGGACCCTTGGTGGGGTCGATATCGAGCGGGGTCACTTTCCCTTTAAGGAGCCGCTGACGCTGACGTCTTTACTCACAATGAATAGCCGATGACAATAATCATCTTATGATACTTACTATAGACATTGTAATCTAACAAAGAGAATAAATGGATCATACTCGATATCAAATATCCAAATCGTAGCATGCAAATAACATCCAAAAGAAAGGGTAAAGCTCACATCGCCTTACATAATCCGACCTGATGGACCCTGACCATCCTAAGGTTGGGGTCCCCCGCCCATGACCTCTTTTTTTTTTACGTGATATCTGCGTGAGTACGCTGTTTTAGGGTGCCTATCTATCGTTCAGCATCAGGATCATCCATTTACAGACCAATCGAATAAAGCATCTAAAGGCGTGGTTTCGTACAACCTTGAATGATTCTTTTTGCTTGCTTGTCTCCTTTTTACTCCCTGACCCTTTGCATTGGTTTTGCCGAGTGTCTTTATTTTGGAGGGTAAAAAAGGTATATGGAGGTTGTGATTGCGCCTCATGTACCACGTGCCATAGCTGCATCATGCACAGTGGAGAGGTCAAGAATGACGCCATAGCTGTGGTGTTGTCTCTATGCATGTAAATGTGTAGGAATGTGATGACGACTACTACTTTTCAGGAACCTTGCAGACTCAAACAATCATTGTTTGGGAAGTGAGACATTACATAATTTGCGTACGGGTCCACCATCAATTAACCCCGGTGGGTTTGGAAAAACAAACCAACCCGGAATCGTACATAAAAGTAGCGCCGACGGAGACAAGAAAGCCACACAAATGAAATGACACATTAATTTCTTTGTCTTTTTCTCCTCCTAAGCTTCCATACTACACGCAACTATTTGGCTGACCTAAAAATATCCTTGGGCCCTTTGTTGTCATCCACTTGTACTAAACACCGTCATAGCGTGAGAAGTGTACTCGATACCGTTATCTCGGTAACATGTATGCATTGCCATGTGCTTGATAACACAGCACCGTGAGTGCTCACCTGATGTCTACAAGTGCACCATGCAGCCGGAAAAATGAGAATTGGGATTCCTGCTACCATGTGTATCACAAAACTCCTGTTGGTGCGGGATTAGAACTAGCAGCCTTTTACCGATATCCTTGAATGCTTGTGTACCTCATCATTCCATTTAAAATTGAGATACTCCTTGGATCATTATGTGGTATGGATTCACTTTTTCATAATGAGCAATACCATCATCAGCCTCTCATACCATATGGACGTATTCAAACATGCTTCAGGCAGGAATCCGCCTTGATAGCCTAAGTCATTGGATTAGAAACAAAATAATCTCCTCCCTTGGACCCTGGAACTACTCGTCAAACAAAATGATCATATGACCCACTGTTTTTCGTCATTGGTCCATGTAATTTTCTATCGATCCATAGCTATGGTGAAACTTTTATCACTACCATGAACCTCGGGTTTGGCTATAGCATGACCCATCACACCTTGATGCAGCTTGTGACCATAATACCCACCACCACGACGTACATCAAGCTGCGTCATGGCAACACTCATTTTCTCTTTTCGATGTCAAGCATCTTATTCTATCAGCCAGGAATCTCCTTATACTATATGCTATCAATTCTCAGTGCCTTGGATGATTGTAAATGATGCACGCATAGCTCTTGATGGCTGGCAACTCTTACCACATCATTAAGTGAAGGGGCCATCTTTCATGTTCCGAAACCAACTTTACACGTGACATGTCCCATATGTCCTTTTGTTCTTGGAAGCCGTTAAATCACCACCATGGGAGTTGTGGGTGGGTTCCCCTTCTGGCGCCATAGGAACTGAGAAAAAATAAAAGGTTGGCTCGCTTGGTCGAGGTAGAGTACTTGCACTCTTCGTATATTATCCCAACGGTTTTGGATTTGCCGTGTTCCCATGATCCGATCATTCTCGCTGCTTATCGAACACGCATACCAATATGAAAAGTAAGTTGATAACATAGATGTCACCTTCATAATAGTGGGGATGTGCATTATGCGTACAAGTTATTAATTTCGTTGATAGATTTCTTGTTACCTACCCTATTTTGGCCGATGTATGATGCATAAACAACATTGCACTAGGCTCCTCAGACTTATTGCTGGTATATGCACCCCATCACTTTATCAGCTCATGCATCAATTTATCAATGCATCATCCCCAACACACGAAAGTAACCACGCCCACAATGCACATCACAATAAAAGGATGTTGTTGCCGCTCACCATACTCCCACATCTCTCTTTTCTCTATCATACCATTTCGATTGCTTACAAGATCAAGTTTCCAAGGCTTTGTACGTATCCCATTTCTTGCAAGCTTTGTGAATAAGTGCTGATCTTTGCGGTCATTCATAGGGTCCTGCTCTCATTGTTGTCGTCGTCCTCATCGTGATATTGGATCCTTATAGAAAGGTAAAGCCTGATGATGCTGCTTGATGAGTCATTACTCATACACGCTACCTTGCTACTTTCGATATAGCTATCTCCCCTTGAAGCATCTGCAAAAGTTGGCTTTGGTGCCATGATCTACGTCGGGTGCTGAAATTGACATGGTGCAAACAGCAGGGTAACCACCCCCAACTCCCATGGTGATGATTTAACGACTTCCTAGTAAACAGCCATGGATGCTTACAAGTTCGCTCAGTGTCTTAAGCATGATCCAACAACGCAACCATTGCTTGCATGACTTTATTTATCTGTTGCTAGGTTACCATGTCGATTTCTATGTAAAACCCAACTTGGATGACATGGCTAGCCACCTTTGAAACAGACAAAATGTACCGCCAATGGGGGCTTCATTAGGTGCAACCGCTGCTGCTTGCCTTAATAAACTTTTTGTAACCAAAATGCACCATCAGTGCTCGTTTCTAATTCTCGTGCAAGCAATGATTCACCGCCCGACCTTGTTCTAGCCACGCTGTTCTCCTTTTTCATTCTGATCCGCCAGCTATAAGAAGGCTCCCTGCATATACTACGGCAAACGTCAAGAGACAAATGGGTTGTTGATTCTGGATATGAACCCTATTACACCTTGCAGACGCGTTCTAGGCTTCTTTTTTCTTGTCCTTCTTACTATAGCATCCTTGTACCCTTTGTTGCCTTCCAAAAATAAAACGTGTTGTGTGTAACATTTCCCCATATGCTCTTTATTCGAGAGGCACACAACACCAATGCTGGTGGAGGTACATGCCAAAAAGAAAAATCAGCATCGAGACCCTACTAGGGCTGTTCATTTGTTTCTCTCCTTTACAATCTTTTCCCTTCTTTCATTATAGCTGTTGTTGTCTCAACATGCTTTCCTATTTATTCCTTATTGCGGTGGCAATCCTCTCATTTCATCAAACATTTGCGCAAGTGGGTCCTCACATCTCCGTTCCTGAATACAATGCCACCGTAACTCCTGGCGACCACATCACCATCGAATACACGTATCAGAATATGGGTACGGGTAATTACAGTGTCGACTTATCGTTGTGGCAAGACGCTTCGGCAACGCAGCTTCTTCAAAATATCACCACTGATCACGAGATTCCTGGTGGCAACTCGACCGGCTTTCAGCTCAACTTTACGTATACCGCGTCGTATGATTGGAAAGTGCCTGGTGGATTATCAGTCAAAAAAACTTTTGACAATGGCACCGAAATCGAAGAAGCACCTCAGCTTATCTATTTGACGGTTACGTGCGAAGCTGATACATACTTTTACGAAGATTTACGCTTACGATCACGTCCCATCATGCTTCATTACAATGCGGCTGGTATCAATCTGCCCAACGTGCTATTGTTGGCTCTATCCACAGCATCAGCCGTATTCATCTTCTTTTTTGCCTAATGATGATGATGATATTATCCCCCCTTACTCATATTCCTTTCTCTCTTCTATCATTCTTTGCTTTGCATCCAACGCTCCTTGCATCGACCTTCTTTGTGTTCTATATCCCAAATAGCTTTCATTGGTTAATAACAATAATGTGTAATGCCTTTTTTTGTCTCTAGCATGACAGATCCGACGTGTTTCGTTTTCGATGTTTCCCACACACAGATATTCTTCAACATGTGATATTGGGTGGGTTGGGTGGCAAAAGAGAAAAAAGAAGACAATGGAGCGATTATAGCCCGTTTATTGGGGCAACTGACACCGTTCTGATTTACCAAAAGTGACGACAAGGTTCACACCGATTGAAACTTAGCAATGAGTGTTAAAGTCTAGGCATGGACAAGGTGGGATAATGTAACACCTACCACATCACATATACAGCATGGCATTTATGCAGCACATTCACTTGTCTCCTTGTAAGCAAAATGCACAACTTGCATCGTCCTCCTCTTCTTTGCTCCGTTCTTTTTATTGCCATATCATGGTTTCAATGATGCATCTATATGATTGGGATAACAAGGGGACATGACTCTAATTGATTTCAAAGGATGATGTGAACACGGCTTTCTACATGACATAGGTATAGAATGAGAGGGAGGTGGGAGATGTTACTGTAAAGCACCACCACCGTAAAGGGCTCATGTGCGCCGGAGATTTATCCTTCACTCCTCCTTGTCTCTTTATCTCCTTGCACCCTTATTCTCTTGTTGAAATGAACGACGATCGGCCCCATGATGTGACTCTCCATCCTCAGCTTGAACAACGCCATCTAGCATACGGGCCTGATTCAGCTTCTGAAGATGACAATGCCAATGAAAATGGAGCACCTGTTGCACCAGCCGCCGTAAACGAAGATCCCCACATGGTGCGAGTGACTCGACCAGTCCCACCACGCGATTACGGACCACAACCACCACTATTCAGCATTGAAGAGCTTATGAACCTTGCTTTTCGGTAAGCAAACCAACCTTGCTACGGTTGACATAGGATGTAAAAAAAGCTAACTGACAAAGGCCGGCTGCATTGAATACCCGCATAGCATGTCGTATATGCCGCTACAGAGACGGCCTTGATAAGCTCAATCCACAATATCAGCTTTTGATCGAGCATATTCCATCAGGCGACTTACATCATGTCATGACCGCTCGCAAAAAGCGCAAGAGCCAAACCAGCTATTATACAATCACCGGCATTGTCCATGATACACCACAAGGACCAGGTACACCTGTAGAGTTGGGCAAAGTAAGGTATGTGTTTTAGAAAGGGAAAAGGATGGGATAAGAGAATATTGATAGGGATGCTTTTTTCTATCAAGGTCCAACTTTTTAGGCACAACGTTTGTCATATATTCGCATGGAAGGAACCCCACAAGAAAGGAAAATGATCCAACAAAGAATGATTTGCCTGTGCGAGAAGAATTGGGTGCTGTTCTTTATGTATGTCTTTGTTCAAGCACACGCACACACGAGATATCCTCTTACCCTTGTATGTAGGATCCCAACATTCTTGGCTTCAAGGGTCCTAGGAAAATGACGATCCTGATGCATACTCTGACGCGTGATGGTAAACGACCTGAGTTTCGACCTACGTCGGTAAGTATATGATAGAGGAGGATTGGTTGCTATGGCAGCTGTTTTGACATGGCACTATTTAGGAATCGGATACGCTTTTGAACAAGTATCGTGAAGGTGGTGCTCGTGATTTGCTGGTTCTTCACAATAAGAGCCCCCAGTGGAATGAAGGTATGTAGTGAGTGGATCAATCCATGGATGGGCCACACGGCTGATGTTTTATTCTATGCCATCCAGATACACAATCCTTTGTATTGAACTTTAGCGGGCGAGTGACACAAGCATCTGTCAAAAACTTTCAAATTGTGCATGACAATGATTGTAAGTGCTATCAGCGTATTATGGGAAAAAGTGACTCACGCGCATTCAAAACTAGTGGATTACATCGTGATGCAATTTGGAAGAACGGGTCCTGATCACTTTACGATGGATTTCAAGTACCCCATGTGCCTTGTACAAGCATTTGCCATAGCTCTTACTTCATTTGATGCCAAACTTGCATGTGAATAATGAAACGGTGATTGTGGTTTTATCGTCAACGTGGAAAGTGGATGCATTGTTTATGCAGCACATGGGCTTGGATTGTTTGTGCCTCGCGTCAACGGATTTCAATTGCAGCACACCGATTATAAATGCTGGCTCCTCCTGACACAATATTACATGTACCCCAGGGTCTTTATTCAACACACGATGATGACAGGTCCTGACATGAGGGTGGTGGGAATACGTCATATGGGCTATTGAGGATGAGAGAGAAAGAGTTTGGGCGCAAATTTACTACAAGGAGGTAGAGCAGCAGCAACAGTGTATATGCACGTTCATTATCGGGCAGATTAATCTTTCGGGAAAATGTGTGAACGGCGTTGGGCGATCTTTTTGGGTTGGATGCAAGGGGTTATTATGAATACATACAAAGGATCGAGAACACACACAAAGTTTTTCCTCTTTTCTCTACATAGACATGAATCGCCGAATGATACAAAATAAAGCGCTATTGCATATGATGGAAAGCATCTATTGTTTACGCGTTTATCATGGGTACTGCTGCAGCATACATACAACGGAGATGATTTCGTATATAGAGCAAAAGGAGACATCATTGAATAAACATGATGGATCGAGATTTGACAGGTGGTGGTGATGATGACCATCATTAACCTTGATTGCCCTGCTGATGTTGACACTATTTGATTTGTCACCCTCCTTCCTCCTCCTTCATTTAGGAGCCAACGTGAAAAACATATTGGCTCAAAGACGCTCCTGAGAATCAAATAGTGTCACGCATTACAATTTTTCATCGAAAAGCCATGCCGCATTTGAATCAGACGGCAGGTAAATTGCAACTTGCCTTGCTTGGATGGAAAAAGATGATCGATTTTTGGAGCATGTATTCTGACGATGATTTTTGCATTACGAAAAAAACCCAGATAGTTTGTTTTGAACCTTAAACAACCTAATGGTGACACAAGATATTCTTTGTCAAGAGTTGTGCTCATTGATAAGGGGAGGAGGGCGTGTTTGAGGATACCATCTTGTGAACAACTAATGCACAGGTGGTGAAAAATACAATAGGGATATGGATCCTATTACAATGTGTATTGCGTGCTCCACTTCTCCTGTCACGTTTGCGCCAAATACGCGCTCGGAAAGTTAACCGGGTCCCATCCACATAGGTTAACCAGATATATAGCACTTGTGAGAGGAAAGACCTGTACGTATATATGCATGGTCTATAGATGGGTGAGGATGAGGAAAGGGAGCATGAGCATGTTTCAAAGGGAGTGGTAAGAAAAGGGAAAGGCGACAGGCTTGGGATGAAAAACCTCCCTCGTGCTTTACTGGATTTGCAATCCACATATGAGATGGTACTACCTGCATACGTAGAGATCCAAACATTCACCTCCGCTGCGTCATTATACAAAAAAGTATAATGATAGTGAATAACCATTGTTCTAGATCACATGTGCCCGAATCCGATGGTGGAGGAGGGACAATGGAAGAAATGGATGATGATACGCACGCATAATACCGGGAAAGGTAGAAGCCGTTATCATGATAATACGATAAAGAGATGAAACACACGAGTGGAGAATTGATTAAATTAATACATCTTGTGTACGTGGATCTTTTTAATAATAGCAAGTGAGATGAATAATACCTGCATGACCATCATCTTTTTGTGTTTTATGTTTCCTCCAGAAGATCTCGCTTGTTTTGGAATAAAGAAAGGCGCGAGGAGATGAGATCGCTCTATCTTTAGCAATTGGAACAACAATGGGACCAATGGCCAAAAGAGAGAATCTGCTCGAGTACAAATGGGTAGGTTAATCACAGTCGGATGTCTAACATGTGGTGGCATTCGAGCACTATGCCATGCCTGACAGGTCGGGGAAAAGGGCATGAGTGAGCGAATGAAAAAGCTTATTGGATATTGGCGTCTGTGCATTTTGTAGTACAATTACACGCCGTGATACAAGAAGAAAGCTCACTTCATTTGGGGCAAGTTCATGTGTTTTACATTCATCATCCTACTTTTTTTCCCTTGTCTAATTCAAGGTCCTGAGTTATCTCTTTCTTTTTTCGCTTCTTCCCTCTCTCTTTTTGGTCGTCCACCTCACACCACCCTTTCCATTCCTTTTTGTACGATAACCTGCATCCTTTGGGTGAGTGTTTGAAAGAGAGGGGATCAACAACAATAACTACTATGACAACGTACATATACATTAACCAACTTTACGTTTGCAGATACACGCGCGGTTTCATTTGATCTGCATCAAACACATCACATCACACACACGCACACGCACACACGCACGCATATACGCATATACGCATACAAAAACTCTCTTTCTCCCCCGATAAAGAAAGACCTGGTCATCATCACACCCCCTTCTTTACAGGTCGATCAGCATCTTTTTTTCCTTCCTTCTCTTCTTCATCGTGTGTTGTGAATACTCGCTTGCCATCTTCATCGGCTTCTCGATTTCCGATTCTCCTCTCTTTTTTCATCACCTCATCATCCACATCACCCATCACCAACACGACACCTTTTCATGTGTATATAACCAGCAACAGCATCATCTTGTAAACAATGGCACCTTGTACACCTACCAACACAAAAACATCAACCAAGGAGACAGCACAAGTGCAAGTGGGTGAGTATCAAATATAATAGTGGACATGACACGTTGTCCCTTCTCCGCACCTTTCTTTTCATTTTCTCTCTCTCACACATGTCAACCCATTACAGCACTTCGTGTTCGTCCTCTCACATCGCAAGATCGTGCTCAGCCAAGGTTCTCCCAATCGACCGAATCCGATGTCGTGCAGATCCACAATGACAGCCTCACGGTCGTACCACATCATAAAAGCTTCTCATTCGATCACGTGTTTGGCACCGACAGCACGCAAGAGCAGGTCTTTTCTACTGTAGCATCCAACATGGTGGATCGATTCATTGATGGTAAGCGTATACAAGTCATTGTCTAGTTTGAATGATGGGTTCTAACATTGCATAATGACATAGGATACAATGTGACAATCTTAGCATATGTAAGGAACACAAGGCACATGTCCCAAAAAGATTACGATAAGCTCTAACTGTTTTATGGTGGTACAGGGCCAAACTTCATCAGGCAAGACATACACGATGGGCACCGAAATAGGACATGACCAACGTAACCCTGAACATGAAGGTAAATGAGACACATAAACAATATGCATAGCAATTATATGTTGACATCCAAGTAATATCACTCTTAGGCATTATCCCAAGAGCTATGACTGCCCTTTTCAATAAGCTGGGTCATGCCAAGAATAAACGTCCAAACAGTACTATCGTGCCACCATCATCACAACAACAAAGTGGGCTTCCGCGGCGACCCATGCAGACATCTCCTAACAACAATACATCACCATCATCAACAACATCACCACCACCTACTCGATTACGACCCATGTCCATGATGGTGAATCGACGTGTATCCACAAGTTCACTTAATGATCAACATCGTGAGCATGCACAGCAAAGCAAATCATCAAGGTGCACCGTCAAAGTATCCTTCGTGGAGATCTATAATGAAGAGTTGGTGGATTTATTAAACCCGGCACCGGCATCGGAACGACCACCCGTCACTGTGCGTGAAGACCCCAAGGGCCAGATTTATTGGACCGGTGTTAAGGAGGTACCTGTCGAAAGTACAGATGATGTATTGAGGTATGATACGGGGTACAATGCATAAGGAGAACCTTTTTTGCAGAATGACTAATACTAGAATAGATACTTGCAGATGGGTACTCTTAATCGAGCCACTGGGTCAACCGATATGAATGCCAAATCATCACGTTCGCATGCCATCTTTTCAGTTACGCTAAAGCAAGAAAAATGGGTACCAGCAACAACATCAACAACCTCACCTGCATCATCCAAAACCACCACCACCACTACATCATCAGGCATTCGACAACCACAATCGACTCGATCAACAATGATTGGTAGACGTAGTAGTACAATGAACGTGCGTGCTATGGTGGGCCAAATGGAAAAGCAGCAGCAGCATGATGATGATAATGGCAAATGGGTCATTAGCCATTCAAAGTTCCATTTTGTCGATTTAGCCGGCTCTGAACGATTGAAAAGGACAGCAGCACAAGGTGATCGACGCAAAGAAGGGATCAATATCAATGCTGGGTTATTGGCGCTGGGAAATGTTATTTCGGCATTGGCGGATAGCCATCATTATTCCTCATCATCACCTTCCTCCTTGAAACAACGTCCGACACCTCATATTCCTTATCGTGATTCTAAGCTCACTCGACTGCTGCAAGATTCACTTGGTGGAAACGCCACAACGCTCATGATTGCTTGTATTAGCCCTGCCGAGGTTAATCTTGTGGAGACTGTCAATACGCTGAAATACGCCCATCGAGCTCGCAATATCAAAAATCGTGTCGAACGCAATGAGACTGAAGAATGGCTCACCAATGATAATCCAGAATATCTACGTGGCCTCATCAACAAGCTCAAAGCCGAAGTACGTCACCTAAAGACACAAGCAGCTGCAAACAACCAAGCATTACCACCATCACCCCAATCGTTGCCAACACCATCCGTATCCATGGATAATGTTTCAGCTACTACTACGACCACCACCACCATCGCAGAAGACAATGTAGCGGAGTTGAGACGCCAAATTGTGGAATTGCAAAAGGAAGTAGCAATGGCACGAGAACGCAATCAGCACGTGGAAAAGGAGCTGCAGCGAAAACAGGATTTGGATTTTCAGCATCTTGTTGAACCTGTCATTGCTGAGTATGAGAAGTCTGTATCAGCATTGGAGTCACAACTCGCTATGGCGCGCGCTGCCCTTTCGCATTCAGATCAAGCACTTGCTGAGCAAGAAGCCAAACTTGCACAATACGCAACATTGCATGAGAATGAGCAAGAGACTTTATCAGAGCTCAAGGCACGCTTGGCCAAGTCTACAGAACGTGAGCAGACCAATGAGAACTATATCGCTGAACTCGAAGGCAAGCTTGCTCGTACCGTGGATGAAGCTTTGGAGGATCAACAAATGTTGACGGACTTGCGCCAAAAACTTGTCAAGTTCAAGGAGATGGATGAGAGCACTGAGCAATACATTCATGATATCGAGACTCGCTTGGCACATTCAGAGCAAGAACGTGATCGATTATTGGAACTTTGTAAAGAAGCTCAGACCAAGCTTTCAGAACAACAAAGTCAACTTGATACCATCCGAAAGCGATTGTCCACCACTGGCAAAGATGCGGATCAACAAGCACTGTTAATTGAAGATCTTGCACGCTCTGAAACCCGTTGCCGTGAATTGGAGAACGAGTTGCTTAGGTTAAGGGATACATTGCATACTCGCGAAGAACAAGTTGTCCAAGATCAGCATTTATTACAAGTGGCGGAAGAGCAACCATCTGCATTACCCCGAGAAAAGTCACTCAAGGATGAATTGGCCGTTGAGGAAGCAACCATTGAAATACGGGATCGACTTGCTCAAAAGACGGCTGAGATCGAAGTGCTTGAGAAAAAGCTTCTCGAAAGCAGTGGATCGGTGGAATCGCTCAAGGAGGAAGCCCAACAAAAGACAACCAAGGTTGAAGAGCTTTCAAAGCAGCTAGCTGATATGCAAGAGGCGCATGCAGAGTGGATCAAAACGCGTGAACAACAACAGCTTGAAATGACTCGTCTTGAAACCTGTTTGAAAGAAGCACGTGTTGCCATGGAGACGACACAGCAAGAGCTGCAAACATTACAAGCAACACATGCATCGGAGCTGCATGACGCACAGGCCACAGCACATCAAGCATTGACTGATCAAGAGCAACGTTTCCAAGCAATTCTTGAACAACGCATGGATGAAGCTGAACAAGCTCGACAAGATGCCCAAGTCCTGCTTCAAGTACAAGAACGTCAACAAAGCATCATTGGAACTTTGGAAGAGAAGATGCGTGCCATGGATGAACTTGTGCAGAGCCTTCGACAACAATTGGCTGATCGTGATCGACAAATCAATGAGCTAGAGCGTATCAACAATGACAAATCACAAATGGTCAAGGATCTTCAGGATCGTGTACAACAAGTCCTTTATGAAGTGCGTACGGTTGGACTTGAACGCAATCAGCTTGATGTTGTCATTCAATTCCTTGAAGCGGCTCTGAGACAGCAAGATCGCAAAGCTGATAAGGCGATGTTGGCTATTCAAGATCTTCAAATGCATTGTACCGGTCGCAGTGATCAAGTCCATGAAAAATCCGACAGCATTGATCAACTTGAGCAAGAGAAAAAGTCATTGGAGCGTGCCCTTGTTGATATGACACGGCGTGTGAAGAAGCATGAAGCACTCATTGCCACTTTTCAACAACAGCTTCGGCTTAGTCAAGAGGCTCTTACGGAGCAAGATGAGGCTATGGATCAAATCAAGGTCGAAGTTGAGGAAGCGAAACGGATACGAAGTCGCATGGATGAAGTTGAAAAGGATTTGGAGAAGACACGCAATGAACGAGATACCCTTACCAATGAATTGGCATCATTTAAGAAGCAGCTTGAGAATGCAGAGAAGGCACTTGCTGAGGAAGCTCAAAAGTCAACACGATTGCAAAGCAGCATTGCTACGTTGGAGCACACCTTGGATACTGAACGTTCACTGATTGCAGCCAATGATACGACTGGAATGATGTCAATGTTGCAAGACAAATGCAAAGCGCTGGAAAAGGTCAAAGATGAGCTTATGCAACAACTACAACATGCGAACACGACATTGGATGAAACACGACGTGATAAGGATAATACGGTTGCTTCATTGGAATCATTATTGCAAACAACACAAGCACGACTTGATGAAGCTGTTGCCAGCCATGCTCAACAATGCAAGCAAATTGAAGCTCTTCAACAACATCAACAGCAACAACTTTCTGCCAATGGAAGAAGGAGACGATTGACGAATGAGAGCCAAGATAGCGGATTACCTGATGAACGACACTTGTCGAGTCTTGCGAAACGAGATCGTGATCATCGAATGGGACGATCATCACACAGCGGCAGTAGTGAGGATCTTCCAGCCAATGCATCTCGACAGCACGTGAGGATGTCGACACATGATCCAACACTTGAATCAATACACAAGCTTCAGGCACGATTTCGAGAAAAATTGACGAGCTCCGAAGGCCAAGAAGAGTTGCTTGATAAGCTACTTCAATTGATGACTGAAAATTCGCAATTATCAGTGCAAGTCAATGATCTCGAAGGACAATTGGTGACCCAGCGTAGTCAATCAGCACTTGAGAATAAGAGCTTGGAGCTTGAAGTGATGAAGTTATCAGCTGCCAACGAACGATTGGAACGTGAAATGGAACAAGCCATGCCTCGTAGCCATAGCAACGCATCGATTGCATCAACACGAAGCCCACGCAATTCAATTTTGCTTATGAATGCATCATCTCCACCACAAACACCACGCGTTGGGTCGCCCAAAGTGTTTGCACGTCAATCATGCACGCTTGGCAAATCAGCATCATTTCGTATTGTACGTGATGTTGAACCAAGTCTTTCAACACCAGCTGCTAGTAAACGGGCATCAGCAACATCCATTCGACCTACCATGCCACGACCACGTGTACGAGCACAATCCACTGTGTTACCACCACCATCCGCTCCACCTTCCAATCCACTTCCTCCTGTTCCAGCAAGGACTCGTTCTTCTCTCATCATCAATCAAAGCGAACCCATTTCTCCTTCACCTTCATTTTCCACACCCACTGGTTTGCAACGTCAAGATTCAGTAGCTTCTTCCACTATTAGTGAGATGCTCAGCAGTGATGGCAACTTTACTACTGAACAATACGAGAAGATCATTCGATCATTACAACGCCGTGCACTTGCTGCTGATCAAGATATTCGTGCTCATCAAGAAGTTATCAGCAAACTCGAGTTTCAGCTTACGGGTGCAGAAGATGCGGTCCGTAATGTTCGACGTCAACTGGATACTGCTCACCGTGAAAAACAAACGTACATGCTTGAGATTGAAAACCTGCGCTCCTCCTCGTTACCACCTGAAGTGCAACAACATCAACAACAGCCACAGTCTGCTGATAGCCAACTCAAACGTTTACAAGAAGAATTGGCTGCTGAACGTGCTCTCAAAGATAAGGCTGAAAAGGCTCGTGTCATTCTCGAAAATCGTATGGATCAGCTCATGACAAAGCGAAACAAGTTCATGTGCTTTTAAAAAGTTCATCCTCCTTCCCCCCACCTCTCTCTCTTTGCTCATTCCTCTTTCCTTATATATCCATTCACATCCACTACCGATCTTGTACAGCTCTTTCCTCCCCCATCTTTTATCTTAGTAACTTAATAACTACAATACAACTTTCTTTTTTTTGTCGTCTGTGTAACAAAAAACATCTCTTGCATGAAATGCATTTGCCACATGATGAAGATAGTCCACGTATCATCCATAGCTAATTTATTTCAAACATAGTCCATATACATAGATGCATCCATCACAATGTTGCTTAATATCGTTTCTTGAATGTGAGTTTGAGATCCTTGGGTTTGATTACAGCAAGTCCCATAGTCTGGATCCTTTCCTTGTGAATTGAGTCCTCGGGAAGATGCCATTCGTATTTCCTCACTATTAGATGCACATGAAACAAAAGACAAGTTTAGCTGGTGACCCATAATCATTCACACCCAGATCTAAAACTTACATAGCATGGGTAAAAACACGCGTTGTTCGACGAGAGAAAAGTTGAGGCCAATGCATTGTCGGCTGCCATTGGAGAAGGGAAGCCAAGACATGCCTGAGCCAGCTAATTCTTCAGCCTCGCCACCGGGCTTGAATCTTTCGGGTTTGAATGTTTCAGGATCTTTCCATACAGTCGGGTTGTGTTGGATCTCGTAAAGATCAAGGAACGTACGGGTTCCTTTTGGAATGAAGGTACCACACAAATCGGTATCTTCGCTTGCTTCTCGAACGGGGAGGGTGGCCAAAGGTGGATTCATACGTAACGTCTATGAATATGATCATCATCAGCTCCCATGTATGTGTCAATGCTTTTATCTTGGAGCATACCTCTTTGATGACCATGTTGATGTACGTCAATTGACGTGTTTGTTCAATCGTAGGCATCACATCTTCAGGGGCATCACCCAAAACTCTGATAGCTTCGTCTCTTGCCTTGCGTTGGACATCCTACAATAATTAAAGCGTTATTCGATGCTAATGTATACCCCGTTTTCTTAAAATACTTGCAGGATTGACGGCCAAATAATATGCAGTGTATGACAAAGCCAGAGCTGTAGTGTCATGACCGGCTATGAAAAAGACCAGTAGGTTGTTCTTGAAACAACAGCAATGGTCATATCTTAGTGGTCGAATTGATAACAACAATGAAAAGCATACCTGTAATTCTTCGTTGGTCATGGATCCTTCGCCATTTTTCTCAGCCTCGATCATCAAAGTAAGGATATCACGTTCGGATTCTGGCACACTGTTTTTTTGGTGGTTGAGGAGCTCACGTTTATGGGTGATCACCTGGGTCATCTTGTCAAGGAAGGTATCCATTTCACGGTGGAGTCGCTTTCGAGAAGGGAAAAGGAAACGGTATTGCATATCAAGACTGGGGAAAGCAATGAACCAAGGATTAAATGTGGCTTCAATCAATCTTTGATAACGATCCACCCATTCACTCTTTGGATTTTCAATGGCACCGAAATCAAATTCTACAATAAAGATTCTCGTTGGTGAGTCATTGTTGTACTGTACAGCATGTTTGGGGTATCATTTACCAAAGCCGGCCAAGCCAATGACATCCAAAGTGTATCGCTCAGTGACATCATGGAAGTTCAATGTCCCACCATCCATTTCCTCTTCCATTTTCTTGAGTGTCTTTTTAGTAAGCTTGCCAAATAGCTCAACGGGCATGGCACGATGGAATGCTGGGTTGGCAACCTACACACTCATCATACATCAGCACCCAATGCAGCAGCAGCATAACAATACAAGAGCACATACCTTACGTTGTGCCTTCCAATCATCGCCATTCAGCGTTATGATGTTCCTGTTGAAAACAAACTTGCCGAAGAGAGTATCACCTCTTTCAGATATCAGATCTGCTTTAGGGAAAATGTCTATAGCACAAGTGTTAGCATGTGAGATGCAGCAGCTACGTAACGTCGTACCTGACTTTAGCAAAAATCGCTTGGCTGCTTCTGGACGGGCAATGTGAACGGTCCACCCAAGAATATCAAATCTCTATTAATAAAACAGGGCCATGAATAACGTGCATAGGGCATCTATTTTATGGTACTATCTCACCAAGTAAACGCCATTGTCTACGTTGACAGCATGTGGCAAGACCACGTTTTTGGAGATCTCATGCAATTGTTTCCCTCGCAAAAAGGCGTTCAGGTAGGAGAAAAATCCCATGGATGGTATGTGTCGAAGTTTTTTAGGTGGTGTGACAACTTTGTACACCGTGTAAAAGGCGACTAATGCAACAGCAGCAGAAATCGAGATCTTTTGTTGCCGACTATTCATAGCTGGAGCATGCGCCACGACATGTTGGGATACGGTGCTGTATATGTCTTGAAGTCGATCCATGGTAATCATGCTTTTGATTTGCGGAGAAGCATCAGCCATGTGAGAAGGCGGCGTGGGTTTTTATATTTTGTTGATCTATCGGGAACGTGACCCCACCTCGGGACTTGCGTTTTTGACACATACCCCATTCCGATATCCCCGGTCATCCGTGAAATGGGAATTGTCCCTATTTTACGCGAAAATTCGCACACTCTACACTTTTCGTTGAATCGCATTCTTCCCAAATAAGTGTTTGAGCATTAGTATTTGATGCTCTGCTTTATTGTTTTGTTTTGGGATGCACATCACTGTGGCTCATTGTTGCACCAAAAGCGCCAACAGGTACCGCCACATGATCCGAAAACACCCAAAAAAAATGATGAGGCGCGGTGGGTGCCTATTATGGATACTGTTACACTATGCCGATCGTGCATGGTCTATCCATGATGCTGTGAGTCAAGCGGATCCGATCTGTCATTGACATAATCCCTTATTCTCCATATTGATGGAAGACAATGCCACAATTTCTTATTAACTAACGGCACTTTTCTTAATGAGTAGCCAACCATTAAAACTTGCACAGCGTCATCCATGCTCTACAATTGCCATGGCAACGTTGCAGTAGCTGTATCCAGGATACACTTTAATGAACATGTTTCGATGTCCTTGAACGTCAAGCAGTATATTGATACGGGGAGCATCGGCAATTACATAAGGAAATGTCGATACGAAAAAGATGGATGGATCTGATGACATGTACGACATGCGCTGGGGAGGCGAAATGTTCGGAATGGCTATGAACAAGGTGAGAACGATGCCATCCAAATTCGGACTACAATGTCAACAATGACTCAAACGACCACCTCAACAAAGACATCATCCTTAGGAAACCTTAGGAAAGATCTCTTTATTCGCCATCTCTCATATGTACGTATGTAATAAAGGGGACTAAAGTATACAATGCAATGTAGTTTGTTGTGGGGCCAAAGTAAAGGTTGATAGCATGTTATCATTCAATGAGAGGATACAAGGCGGAAGTAACGGTTCTTGCTTCTACATGGATCATACCTCGGATACCACGTCAGCATCCCTTGGCGATGTTCGTGCCAATCAACATATCGCCCACTACGATCCCCAGCATGATCTCAATCAGCTACAACAACTCTTCAGCAATGGCCTGTCGGCTTTAACAGCGGATCAGTTTCAGGACGCCCATGACACCTTCGATCAGCTACAAGACCACATTGAAAAGAACGTCATCCCCGCCTGCATGGCCTTGCGCGCTTATACATGTCAGAGACAAGAGAGCTATCAAGAAGGGCTGAATATTGCGAATGAATACACTTCAAAGAAGAGTGAGGATGTGGATGGTTACTTGCTTTCAGCCAACATGTATCTATTGAACAACAATCAGCGTGCTGCAGCCCTGGATGTATATCGAAGAGGTGTGAAGCATTGTGATAAGCAGCATCCTCGATATGATGATCTCGTCAAGCATAAAGATCGATTGGAGGAGGATATCAAACGACAAAACTCGCACTTGATCCGCATACTACCTCGTGAAGTGCTTCATACAATATTATCATACATGGAGCGTTGGCATATGATCGAGCTAGCATATACATGTACAGCATGGTACGAGTTGGTTATGGACTGGCCTGGATTCTGGTATGAAATTATTGTCACAAATGATGATCTTCTTGGTGATCAATCAGCATGCCGGCGTTTCCTCAATCGTGCGCCGCCTCAATACGTACGCAAACTGGTGCACCGTGGAGGAGGCGTTCCCGAGCGTTTCCAAGGATATGCGTTTGAGAGGATTGCCGATTTCAGGTGGAATTGGCTTGAAGAATTATGTAAGTATATGGATGGTCATAATAATTCAGCAGCTTGGGACTCTCTAACATTATTAATACAGCAATCAGGTGTTGTAATGATGAAGATCCCACGTTTTACTCACCAATGGAAATCATCGGCAGCTGCAAAAACACACTCAAGAGATTGGCATTGAAACATGACCGTGGACTAGCACTTAGCTCCTGCCTAAGAATTTGCCCTAATCTCGAATACCTGTATTATGAAGATAATCAATACACCGATGAGGATTACGATGCTCTGGATGAGGAAGAACCTGAACCATTACCACCAGGACCTTTTCAACTTCGCCAGCTAGCCATTGTATGTGAGATCACCAATCTTGATATTCCTTATATGATTACCCAATGCCCACGACTTGAAAGCTTTCATTTACGCTACCAAGATCCAGATATTGAGGATCAACTTCCATGTATTCTCAAAGCTCTATATGAACATTGTCCCAATTTGCACACAGTTGCCATCAGCTCAGGCCCAGCTTCCCATCGTATCTCCTGGATACCAGCAAAAGCACAGCATGATGATATTATCGGAGGTAGTGGTCAATTACGCGAGCTCACGTTCAATGCGAACCCGACCGATGTTATGGAAGATCTCAGAGCTATGATCGACAAAAGTACGACATCACTTGTGAAATTCGACGTTCAAGATAATCACCGTGCAGCTATCTTATACCAAACATTGATAACGGCTCAGATAAACAACCTGCGAGAATTATGCTGCGCTCCTGTAGGCGATCGGCCAACATGGAATCTACTCAAAACATTGATCGAATCATCACCTCGACTGGAAAAGGTGGTCATTCCTAATGGTGCGGCATCAGATACGATTTTATCAACCCTGACACAATTATCCAATCTTGTTGAGCTACGATTTCGTGTCGACGACCGAGTGTCACTCGATGGTCTAACATCGCTATTTTCACAATCATCATCACTCCAAAATGTTCATCTTCAATTCGACTCGCGCTATCCAGACGTTAGTAACTATAATGGGTGGGATCTGTATGACGTGTATGATGAATCGTACATTCCAGACATCACTATATATGATATATTTCGATCATTGGCGGCTTCTCGTTCGCTACAAAAATTGTGTTTTTCAACCAATGCCTGGAAAGAACTTCAAAAGGGACCAATTGAATCAGTGGGGCGCGTAATACGATCGTCTCAGTCAATCTTGCAGCAAGTGACCTTGGACAACTTTAATAGTCACGCGATATTATCATTACAACTATGGTCAAGCTTTACCCAACTACGACGTCTTGAGATCAAGCCCGATAGAAACGCATTCTACATTCGTTGGACAGAGGTAGACGAAATCATCAATCAGAATTTCAGTACCCCACATCTGCGCATTCAATACGAGCACCATATGGGAAGTCGTATCTATTCTCTCAAATCGAATGGCCTTCCTAGTGATAGATCATGATGAGATTGATTTAGCCATTAGCAGTGTATACCATCATAGTGCATTCCTCATAATAATATCACTTTTTACCTATCACATGACAACGTAAGCTATGTACACATTTTTAATCGCCCCTCTTTACTTCTCTTTATCTATCCCCTCAACCTGTAGTTGTAGTATAGGAATAGCAGTTGACAAGGAGATGGACATAGTTGCTGTGTTGATGGCACAAAAGCTGAAATGATGTCCGAGCTCAGGTCTTATTCTTTATCCATCTTGACACTATTGTCAACCATGGCGACATCCCCATGAAAGCAGCGATTTATAGACATAGCACAAACGACCTTCAATACTGACTTTCTGAATCAAGTCTTTTTGGCTTGGGTGTCATTCTCGAATTTAATCTTTAGCTTGTAAACTGCCACTTGATAGCCCATTCCTCCCATTCACCTTTGTTGCCCAATACAATGCATATAAACGATTCTCCTGCTCTAGCCCATCATTTCCATCATTGAACTTTCTTGATTCGAGCTGACATGGTAGTAAGGTAATGGCTGTTGTTGGATCATCATTATCATGTAAAGTGTAAAATGGCACACACCCTTTTGCTATACGTGAGGAACATCAATTCTTTTATTTACGCGTACCTATTGTCTATCGTGAGGGTGATGATGACGATGGGTGGATGGTGTGTGTGGGGTAATTGAGTGGTCTCAGTGTAATAGCAGTAGGGGATTTAAACTTGGGGGACAGCAGCTCCACGACTTGAGACAACGCTTCTCTTCTTTTTCTCCCTCCTCTGCTTTTATCCCATTCACGACATCCCGATCAAGGTAATGTATTGTAAAAGAGTGCTCTTGTTGGCTGTGAGGTATTGATGTAGTTTTGAACATGCATTGTCAGGGAGTGAGTGTGTCCAAGTGCTGAGGAATGAGCGTGGTTGGTGGTTGGTGGTTGCCATGGCGATATTGTTGCTTCCTTTTGCTCGTTGCTATTCCCGCTCTACGCTTGGTGTCAACAGGTACATTCAGAGTCCAATGTTGCAGCCGAACTGGTTCCACTGACGCGTCAGCTTGTATAGAAAGCAAGTTTGGTTTCAAAACGTTGGCTGGTTTGGCGTTTTGTTTCGGCTCAACTATACTACACCATGGTTTTCGGTTTCCAGTAACCAACAACAACGGGTCTTTGTGTATATGGAAAAGGCAAGTACAATGAAACAAACAATGAAAAGGGTGTTTATTGTGTGTGTGCTAATAATGAATTGAATATAGGTTCTTGGTCAGGCAATGCAACTTGGGGCATCATCATCTCTTTGGGTTCGACCCCCAGCCTGTGTCAAGCGGCCGGTTTGCTGAAAAAGCTTCTTGGAATGCGACCATGGCTCTATAGGCCTGCGTAGAGTTGATGCGTCGATGACGGTGGGTTATTGGAAGAGCATGGTCACCGTGTTGAGGTAAAAGGGGATTTACAACAGCTTGTGAATGTGTTGAACCAACACGCTCTTCTCGTGATAGACTCGTTCTTTCCCTTGAGGATTTCTTTTCATGAGGTGGGAAAATGATTGGAAGGATTGGGGATCATTCTTTCTTTGGAGAGGATGAATGAGAACAACTATGAGCCTGGGCTCTACGTAAGTGAGTCCTTCCTTGCCATGGATCGAACTGGCTTTGCGTGATTCGTGCAGTGCTTTTTCAAGAACAAGGGATCGCCCGACGTTGCTCGTATGGTGGTGATTTGGTTTGTGAATTCCTTCTGATTTGCTTTCTTCCTTGGAGAGGATCGCCTAACGGTATACCAAATCGTCATCATTCCGATACCAGATGGTCTAACTTGCCTGCTTTCTTATTTGTAGAGACGACGATTACGATGATTACCACATTCACAACAATGACGATTACGATGATCACCTGGCTCATCCACAACAATGGCAATGATAACGATAACGAGATTCAAAAGGAAGCCTGCAAGATCCCATTCTTTTCAACTTATGTGTTTTTTAATGTTGGTGTGACGGATGAGATTGACGACTGGTGACGAGTAGGAGTAGGAATGATGAAGGAGGACGACTACGACGATGGTGGTGGCAATGTACAGTACATAGCAAGATAGCTAGATGAAATAAAGCATTGTTTATTTTTACACGCTTGTTGGAGGTTGCTAGCTTGTGGATTACATATTATTGCTTCGAAGATGGAATAATAAAGGTGGTCCGGTTACTGTATCTGTCATGCAAGAAGTATATGGCTTTTGTGATGCGATAAGGAGGAGTGGGAAGTGGGATGAGCTTGAGAAGAGAAAAGTGAAGAGATCCCTCCATTGAGTTTCAGGATGAGTGACTCCTCATTCAACATTATGTATATGTATCTTTTTACATATACAAATTGGTTTATGCAGCTCGACTTTCTTCTACATGCAAATGTGATGCATACCTTGACGCACCTTCATTATTGGATGCTGTTTACTTACATACCTTCACAAAAGGCAATCATCATCATCATCATCCTTTTGTGTAGCAACCTGTCAAGGACGTGTCTGTGTAACCACCACGCGCCGTTTCACTCAGCTCTTCATCTTTCCGTTAATGCAGCCGACACCATCCACTAGGAAAAAGCAACTCCATCACGCTTACAGCATAGGTAAAACATAAAGACGCCTGTATCTCCAAACTTTACAATGAAACGTGTGGTTTTTATTAGAGCAATGTGCTCGGCTTGGCCAACAGCACCTTCATGTGTGAAAGTTTCGCGTTCAATGTCGCAACTAGCCCAAAAAATATTTTTTGGTCGTCGTCGTCGAAGAGGTCGACCCCCAGATCTAGTTTGGCTGGTAGCGACATTGCGAAATCTGGTATTGGCAAGCTTGATCGTGAAACTGGCACCCAAGGTGCAGTTGGCCAAGCCGAGCACATTGCTCTAATAAAAACCCCATGTTTCATTGTAAAGTTTGGAGATACAGGCACCTTTATGTTTGTAAGCGTGATGCTATATGAAGAGTGGTCTTTGTTCATTGCCAAGTAGCTAGACCCTGGAGAGCCAAAGATGCAGAAGGACCTCTTTGGGTAACTCAGCTAAAAAGTCAGGACTTCAGGGACAATGCATGATAGGTACGCAACCCTCATTTTCAGGTCATACATTGGCAGCTAATAGCCATTTTTGTGCATTCCCAACTTTTGTGCATTCTATTGTAGGTGGACGATG